CACAGACCATGATCGTTGGCCCAGTTTCAGTGCTGATTACAGAAAGAAGTAACTGTTATAAAGCACTTTTAAATCTTAGTTCTTTGGATTATGACAGAACCAAAGGCTTGTCAAGGCATTTTTAGGACGTCTCTAGTGGAAGGTCCACCCTCTACTTGTCTCCATGGAAATGTTACTGCTTTGTTTAGGATGTTCCACAGTATAGATATCCATCGTATCCATCACAAGGAACAGGGGCGGCTTACAGCACTACACTACATTACAATTCAGATCTGTGGAGAGTCACCCCTATTCATATATGAATAAATGCTCGGTGGATGTCTTTGATGTCATACCATGGAATATTCCAGGCAAAGGAATAACATCTCCATGGAGGCAAGCAAGAGACAGACCCTCCACCAGAAAAAAAAGCTGTGAATGCACTGTTAATGTACTTTGTAATGGTTTTCTCTTCATCAGGCTTAATTTAAGAATTTAATTCTATTTATCAGGAACAATGCTTTAACTGACCTACACAAAAGAGCAAATGTGATAGTGTGTTGCTGATAGTAAAGTGTAGTAAGTATAGTAAAGTTACTGCAGTGTCTGGGCCGGCTAATATGAAAGATGTGTTTTTGATCTATGTTATAATGTTGTTTCCTTGACATAAACATACCTGGAGCTGTTCTTTTGTTTCTCCATACATCTTCACTAGAATCCTTTAAATGATATTAGCCCTGGAATTGCCAATCTCTACTGAACTAAGGTAAAAGGAACAGTTAACTTGAAAAAATAAAAATAAAAAAATGACATGACATCACAAAGTGAGCCTTTTAAGCTTTGGAGATGTGGACAGACCAATAATAAATGATACCTATGTGTGTGAATCAAAAATAACACTCCAGGTATGTTTTTGATAAGGTAATAAAGTTCTAACGTGGCTTAAAGCTCACATGAGTCAATTATGCATAAAATGGAACCTTTAATATGAAGTGTCATCAATCCTTATGCCTTAAGCCTGTCAAGTATCTTACTGTTTAACATTTTCTAGGAATATTTTAAGTTATGTCTCAGTCTGAATTTGTCAAGTATTAAGTATAATGTGTAATCTGTAAGGCATGCAAGAAATGCAAAGTAACCTATGTCTACATTCTTTAAGGAAGAATATCAGCAACATTCTCAGATTAAACTCAAAGACTATCTATAGAAGCATAAACAACAGAACATGTTTCAGGATGTTTCCTTAAGGCCAGGGGTCAAATGTCAGAGTAGTTTCACAGTTGCGAAATAGCAGTGCGTAAAAGTCACCCGAATACACAGGAGTGCTTTCTTTATACTGCAGCTTCAATGTCAACACATGTATGCTACAATTATAAGCGTAGAAAAGAATTAGACTTAAAGAAGGAGATTGAGGAAATACAACAAATAATTGACAGAAACATAAATTCAACAAATGAGCAACTTAATATTCTAACAACTAAGCAAGAGGACTTTTTTTTTTGGTTTGGTTTTGGTAGAGCCTTCAAACAAAAAATCACTCTAAAAAGAGCGTATCTAAGATAGTTATTGATAATAGAAATATATTATCTACACAATCGACAGTATTAAAAGAAACTGAAAATTACTATAATAATATTTTCTCACATCAGGTAATTCTTCTTGAGAATGAAAATTTCTTCTCAAAGAATTTAGGTGGAAAATTGAATGACACACAAAAACATGTATGTGAAAGCCTTATAAGCGAGGAGGAAAACCTCAGCAATAGACAGAATACATATTGAGTTTTATCAAACATTTTTCAAAAAATTAAAAAACCCTTAGTCTTGAGCTTTAATTACTCATATAGAATGGGGTATCTGACTGACTCAAAAAGAAGGTCATATTTCATTGTTACTGAACCAAGAATCTAATGGTCAGTATAAAGACCTTGTGTATTTAAAGATTTAGAGACCTTTTATTAAATGTTTGGCTTAAGACATAACCTCCTAGGACCTGGTGTCCACATATGTGGACATATATGTTTAACACTTTTTGGGTTGTTCAGGCACTTAATAGTTTTTGCAAATCATTATTCAACTGTGACTTTATTGTGTTGCATTAAAATGATTAAAAAATAATATAAATGTTTATATATCATATGTGGACACAATTTTTATCAGAAACTACATCATGTAAAAATATAATTCTTTGTTTTTGCACTCATCAGGTCCCAGTCACCCCAAATAACAAAGAGAAATCAATAAAGCATGCCATGCAAGAGTTCGGGTCCTAGGAGATTAAGTTGATTTTGCCAAACGTCATTCACCAGGATCAATCTGGCTTCTTACATGGTAGAAATGTTTATAATACATCAGACAGCTATGGAAAAAAAATATGAAACAGAGAATAAAAAGGAACTAATTTTTGTTGCAGAACTAGAAAAGGCATTGATCAGAAAAGTTTAGATTTTATATGTAGCAAAACTAAGATGCCCAATGCAATTTAAATATTAGCTATTAAAGTTAGAAAGAGAATATTGAAGAGTTTATTAATAATAACATAGAAACAAAAATATCAGTGTATGCTTATGATACTAATTTCCGTAAAACTCATTGTTTACAAAATCTGTTGGACAATCTGGACTAAAATTGAATAAGTGTAAAATAATGAGAATAGACAGTTTAAAAGGCACAATGTTTACTATGGATAGTAAAGTACCGGTTGTATGAACTGATGGGCCATTAAATGTACAAGGTGTTTTTATCCCAGAGAACCTTGAAGACCTGTGTTCGGTTAATTATAGTCATAAATTAGGAAAAACTGATAAAACTATGGAAAGAAACATTTTTTACCTACGGAACTGTGAATTCTATCATCGTTCCTCAGTTTATATATTTGTTCATGTCAGTGCCAGGGTTTTGTATAATGATTGTAACTGCTCAGCTGTATCCTTTCTTATAACTGATGCCCTCCCACTTTTTAAACACGGACAATATGATTAGAAATATATCTAGCTTTATAAAAGAATGTCTGCATTCATGCTGGTGCTTCCAATTTCAAAACCTGAAAAAAGAGATGACATTTTACAACAGATTCAAAATGGTAATGTCATGGAATATGAAGAATTCAAAAGTGTCTAACAGTGATGTTTGTTCATGTCACACATAGAATCAAATCATCACAGCACTGGGAAGAAAAGGGAAGGGGTTTTATAAACTCTTGGTTTGTAAACCATCAACAAAAATTTCAAATTGGATAAAAGGAATAAAAATAAACCAACAAATAAATACATTTTATTTAACATCAATTCAGTAAAGATGATCCTTTCTAAAACTTTCAGAAAGTGGGAGGACACAGTCGATTGCCCTTTTACCATGGGAGTGAATATTTAAATTAATTTACAAAATCAATGTTGATGAACACAATCGATTTTTTTTAATAAAAATTGTGTATAATTTTCTGCCTACTTGGAAAATGTTTTTTTTCTTTTTTAATGTTTATTAAAAATGAAAAAAGAGAAGAGAAGGAAAGGAAGGGAAGGGGGGAAAAAAATTATATGATGAACAGGCCAAATATATACATACATATAAAGGGGCCTAGCAATATGGTTTTGCTGCACTACCACATTACTTAAATTTTTATGTACTTAAATGTGTGTGTGTATGTGTGTGTGTGTTTGGGGGTAAGGGGTGGGGAGCTTTGTTGTTTTTCTGCATTTGTTTTGTGTCTTGTTTTCATGTTCATTATTGTATTCTGTTTAATGTTATATTCTATTGTCTTTAATAAAATTAAATAAATAAAAGCAAAGATACTCAATGTCCAAGTGTAAGGCACAGTTAATTATAATTTGTCTATAAATGACTATTTGACATATTAGGAACTTTCTGTAGCCTGCAATTTGCAATCATTAGTACAACAAGACTATAGCTACTATATGTAATCTGTATTAATTGAGAAAAAGAAAGGATTATACTTGAAGGTGCACTGCATAACTTTTCTGGTGGAGGGTCTGCCACCTGCCTTGCTCCATGGAAATGTTATTGCTGTCTAGAACGTTCTACAGTACAGATTTATTATTCATTATTAGATCAATCAGGAGGGAGACAGCAGGTTACAGCTTACATTATGAGACAGATGAATATGTTTAATGTCATACGAGGGAAAGCAATAACATCTCCATGGAGCAAGCAGCTAGCAGATCCTCCAAGTCCAAAGTTATGCAGTGCAGATAATATTCATAAATGGAATAATTTATATGCTATTTTCCTTCAAATTGTATTGTTGTGATAGACCAAGATAAAGTGTCATGAAGCTATGTCATGCACTAATAGATCCTACAGAGTTGATAGTACTACCTCATTAATACACATATGACGAGCTGGATATAACATGGAGCAGTGAGGAATGTACAGAGGAGCCAAGCAAGAACCAGGACATTCTCCAGAGGACAGTGTGTAAGCAACATGTGTGTAAGGTCAGAGGTGAAGGATGATTGGGAAGGATGCTTGTATGCCAAAACCTAGGCACAAAACATCTAGGGCAAGGAGACTGTAAGAAGTTTGGAATTGTTTTATACACAACCTGTATACATCTTTATAGGTGACCCCTCATATGCTGAACATAATGGATCTTGGACCAGTGTAATAACTATGATTCTGCATCAGTGGAAACAAAAAATGGTCACTTTTGTTAGTTTCCAATTATAGACTGTATTGTACACACTTGTACACACTTACCATTCTTCCGGCTCTCACTAGATCTTGCTTTCGAGATAATTGCCACGTTTGCATCAACCATCATAGTTTAACTTGTGGTAGTGACTAATTGAAAGGGCAGAGGGGAATTGACGCTTTTAATTGGCTCAGCTTAATTGATTTCCTGATGATCACGCGTCGACCACGTTCACATTTTTCAAGTTAGCACGCCAATAACGCAGGTCCTTTGAGATTTAAAATTTACAAATTGTTTCCAAAAATACTCGTAACAGAAATATTAGGTGAACTTAAAAAAAATTAAAAAACAAGTATAAACTTTATTTTTACCCAGTAACATGACCTCCAGCTTCTTCCGGTCCACTCGAAACCTCTCCTCCATCCACTCCGGGTCGGGTAATGGATGCGGTCCGCTCAAGTCCTCCTCGGAGCCGGGCAGAGGAGAGTCTGTGCTCCGCTCGCTGTTGGAGCCCTGGTCCGACTGCTGTAAATACCCGCTCAAAGTGTCGCACTGAGCAGCCATCGCGCCGCGCAGCAACTGGTCCAGCGGCCACTGCGTATTATTCAGAGTCGAGTTGGGTTAAAACAACTGGCAGGCAGAACTTTTCAAGACACAACAAGAGCTTTTTATTCCGTCCCTTCGTCGTGCTGTGCGGGCATATTGCAGCGGGTCCTTTCTCTGCAACAGTTTTCTAAAAATATTTGATTATCTCCATCGGTTTCCCTCTTCAGAGATATGTAAGGGCACACTGGACCGTTAGCCGAAAGTAGAGGACTTCACCGTGCCGCAAACACCAACTAACTCCTCGGGAAAGTTTCACGTGTCAACATGCAAAAAAGAGAGAAGAAAAAACCTCGACTCCTCCCAGGCGCTGTTTTTTGGAGTTCTACCTCCCCCTGGACTTACAAGAAGGAAATTTTAACTTTTTTTTTATAGTGTCCTGTAGGCTGTGTTTTTTACCAAATGTGTTCTAAATAAATACTAGGCTAACATTTTACGCACGGCTTAAAGAAACGCGTTTGGCATCTACATCATAAAGTTATTGTCATTTTTATGCTACTTTGTCCTGCCTTTTCCACACTCGTCTGTATCAACTCTTAAAGGAAACACTAGACATCCTGCGTCTGGCCGAAGGGAAGCAATTCAGGAAGGAGAAACCAAAACAAACTGGCCTCATGCGCGCAGATTAGGCGATGCCACGAGCACCAGAAAATAAGTCGTTTTATAAGGCGTTTGGTTTGATTTCCTCGCTGTGCTCAACATCTTGTATTGATTTATACTCTTGTTAAACCTCAGGGCCCCGGGTTATCATCATTTAAAGCTCGTGTGTTTATTTCTACTGCCTACAAAGCTGACACATTTGCTAGTCTATATATTTTGACACTAGAAGGAGGCATAGGCCCTATTGCTTTTTGCGTTTACGCTGGAAGAATGCAAACTAACAGTTGGAGATAGAGTGAAAAGTGCTTGGCTGAAGTTGAGTGGTTTTTGGTGTCTTTGAGTGAAATAAGTGCAGTCTCAAACCAGAAGATAGTTACCAAAATAACACAATGCAATGTGGAATTTCCCATAATAGGATCTGCAGAATCAATAAATGGCAAGCATACCACAGCAGGCTACAGGGACCAGTTTGAGTTGAGACGTCCCATAGATTTCCAGTTCCAGGCAACGGGCGCCATCTAGTGGGGACTTACATGTCAACAATTTTCTATGCTAATAGAATAATGCAATGCAAAACCAAAGTTGAGTTTCTAATTTAATAATGAAATGCATAATATGTTCAAAGGAAATACTACTCCAGTGTGTTGGCAGTCATTCACATAGGGACACAGAATAGTTTTTTATAGTAAATAGTATAACAATTGTAGAAAATGCAGCTGTTTTCCCTGTATTTCTGATTTTTTCTTTTTTTTTTTTTTTTTTTTTTTTCTGAAGAGATGCTTATGGCAAAATATTATAATTTTCACACTATCCTATTGTAAGGTCCTGTTAACAGCTCACTTGTTCCTAAAGGCTCTGTTACATTGAACCTTCAAATATCCAAATACAGTAGTGTCCTCCATCCTGTTCTTGGTCTGGTTTATAGTTGTGTGCAATCTGTCTGGAACATTGGATCATCAGGAGTCAACAAATACATGTGACAAAATGACACGAGGGTCAGATTATATTATAAAACAATCAGTAAACAAACATTATTACATTGCTTAAAAAACAAACCTGGACTTCACTCTATGGTTGTGTTTTGTTTGGTTTCCCCTCCCCCCTATACAACCAGTCACAATATTGCATATTGCAGAACAGTGCAGGACACCACACATGCAATCTTCATGATGGACCAGTGATTGTTCAGACTCAAACACTTGGTAAGCACCTGACCTGCCCTGGGGCACACTGACAAATGGTTCAAATTCTGTGACAGAGGCTTGTCCGACCACCACAAAACACGGTTACACAGGCAATGTGTCTTACCAAAGGGCAACAATGATATGATATGAACAGTGATTGTCATAATAAGATAATAAAATGACAATAAAGTAGGCCTATTGCAGAATAGAAATGTGGGATAAAAGACAGTCTGATAATTATAAAAGTAAAATTGCTTTTAAAAGACAATCAGCGATCATCATCAATAACCCTGATATTGATCTAAGATCATTATTGATTCGGTAATATCCAAATGTTCAGAGGCAGCAGAAGTATTGCCTCAAGCCTGTTATTAGTTTCAGTGTGAAAGTGAGTGTCCGCTCTTAAGTCCAGTTCACTGACCCCTCTGTCCTGTGTCCTGACCGGGAGGGGGAGCGGACAGATGTGCGCAGACAGAGATACTCCAGTACATATGGAGAAAGGCCACATCTGTGATCTTTCACGCCTCAGCTGCTTCATATACCTCCCAGCCACGAACGGCATCAAATTAAGAGCTTAACGTTTATTTATATCTTTATTGTTTCAAAGCGGGTGCAAAAATCACATGCAGCAGTACATAAAGTGGCACATTCGTGATAACCTACAGTCCCGCACATTTACGCTTTCCACGCGCGTGCAAATGATATACATACCATCAGGAAAAGACTTAATAATATGTGATTGATTCAGTATTGTCAACAAAGCCTGACACACTGACATTTAAGTAAAACATGTATTTACTGCCGCTCATTAGCAGAATTAGTTCTAATATTGTGTAATTTTAATATTTTATTGAAGCAATAGCACAATCATTTCTTTAAATTACAGCTCCTACATTTGAATGATAATAGACAGGCTAATAAGACATTGGCCCTTTCTGTTCTGACAACGCTTTCATCCTCCATTTTACGCAGTAGTGAAGAGCGGTGCTATTTGGGCTGAACGTCTCCAAAACAGGGTTGTAATTTATTCCTCACACGCAATTGCTCATGGATCGATGCGCGTTCACGAGGCCCAGGGTTTTGCGGCGGCGCGCCCGTGCTGCTTGCTTGGGAGCATCGTAGGGAGAGAGAGAGAGAAACACAGAAACCGAAACACGGCGAGCGATATAGAGAGGGAACCAAAGCAAGTGTCCAGCGAATGTCAGCCGTCTCCTGCCGCCGCCAATGAACTGTCCTCGCATTCCTATGTCAGCCAGTTGACACGGTTTCAAACGCCATAGAGGAACAGACTCGCACCTCCACGGCTAGGAACCAGGAGTCCTCAAGCGGGCTGCGTTGATCAGGTGAGCCCCTCTCTCTGCTTTCCTCCCCTCCCCACTGTCCACCGTCGCTGTGCCGTCGGAGCATTTACCCTCGTGGTTTAGTACGGTAACTGTCCGAGGTGCTGAATCGGACGGCGGCGTGTGGTTAGGGAAAACACTACGGCCTCACGCTGCGAACAGGTTCATCCATGACTTCGATGTTTGGTTGCTATAGGCTATTTAGTGTTGCAGACTGCCCCTCAAGGATGTCGTGTGGGTGTCGTAAAGACATAACTACAAAGCTCGTGCATGTTCGCTATCAGTGTACGCTTCTCGGTAAAGCCACGGAAGCTTGTCCCCGGTGCGTTTCATGTATCTAAGCTGCATTGTTGGGTATAGACTAGAGCCACCTCCTCCGGGGACGGTGTGTTGTTTTACTGCATCTCCCGTTGTCAGTGTGTCCAGGGCTTCACTTCACCTTATCGTGGCATCGCGCTGGGAGCATGCACAGCGCGTAGAAACAGGTCCAGGACTGCAAACGTGCCTTTTAATTTTCCAAAACGAAACAAACGTAACAAGATCCCAGATGTTGAATTGAATTGGTTAATATATTTTACAGACTCTAAAATACAACTCATGTCAGTTCTCCAGTAATATAGGTGTTTTGGTACAACTGTTTACTCTGTGTTCTATAAAATAAAATCACACCTTTTCCAAAAATGTCCTTGTGGGGACCTTGTGAGATGTTGGCCAGCAGAACCTCTCAACATTTTGCATGAGAATGTGTGAAAAACCAGTGACAGAACGCAAATGAGGCTATAGTCATTACTGTTATGTAAAGTTCCCCCTCGTGTAAGGTTCAGTGGTTCTTTACTGTAGTTCCGCTGACAGTCCCGTGTCCACTGTGTCCACCACAGGAGCACCTGACATTTGCAGTGGCCGACTCACTGACCGGATCATGGCACAGACCAACACTGGAGGACAGGGGACCAACGGTGTAGCGGACGAGTCCCCCAACATGATAGTGTACAGAAAGGTAATGTGACGGCTATTTTTAGTCTTTGTGTGAGAGTGTGAATGTGTTTCGTATCAGTTTACCTAATCATGTGCTCAGCTATGGGGATTCTACAACTAATGGTAAGACACTGTGCTTGTACCATGGCTGATTTGGGCTTTGACTGAGAAATGAATTTGATAGGATTCTCACTACATCTTGTTGTAGAGGATTAGGGATGCACCTCTCCAGTTCTGGTATTGGATATTTGCGCTCATACAGAAAAATGTACTGGATTCAATATCAGTTTCTAAATATCAGTTCAGCCGATGTTCTGGTTGGGCCTAAAAACGTATATAATAAGACAATTTCCTGTTCATATAGCCAAGAAAGTCTTAATTTTTAACTTTGATTTACTTTTATTTCTCCTAGTTGAGGTATAAATAACAGTTCCATAACACATTTAGATCAGTTGTCTTATTTTATTAGATGATTTTGGGTATCAGCAGATTCTTAACGTCATAGTATCTGAATCAGCGCGTCCCTATAGAGGATAGCCACGGCACGCACTGGATTATGTACAATATACCGGACACATGTCAACACATACTTGTCAACAAACACGCTGGGTCAACAAACAGTTTTCATCGTTCCATGTTAGAGCATTGCTGACAGCCACAAGTCCTCACCACCACAATCAGCGGGGATCTCGATTGTTAAAAATCTCCAAGGCTGGTAGCTGTGTCAAATTATGGGCACTGCCATGTCTCCCAGTTTGACCAGTTTGAGGGAGAAGAGATTGTGAAAGAGCTTTTATAATGATCAAAGTACCCAATATATTTCTTCTTTCACAGTACTGTTATTTGCCTATTGAAGAAGTCTGTGAGAAATCATTCAAAGGCACTGCGAGTTTTATACCTGAATGGGATTAGCTGTCATCTAAAAGTGCACTGGGGAAGCCTTAATACAATGGTTAAAATGAAAGCTTCCATTTATTTCGTGAGCATTAACTGTCGTATAGTATTTGTATCACCATGTATTTGCTTTTCACATTGTGCAGATAATGAAAAAGCCATATGCATATTTTCTTACACAGATGTTCCGTGTGCCTAATGTACGTCCCTCTTCTACGTTCTTCTATAATTAAATGCAGTTGGATTGTGCTTGTGGTGTCCTGCAAATTTAATGATCATAGTGAGAGTCAAGACACCACAGCTTGATGTAAATGTTGCAGTGCCATATGGGTAATGCAGTCCTATAGTTCCATAGAATAAACTGCAATATTAAAAAAAAAAAAAAAAAAGCAGTCTTTGCAATTTGCTAAATGCGTCCATTGTATTCAATTGTAATTTCGATTCGATTGTGATTCATCTTGCTGCTCCAGTCACTGCCATTTTGATCTGCAAGAGTCCTACATATTTTAAGACCTATGGTAAAACTAGACCATCAGTCATACATATTATTTGTGGGGAAAAAAAATTAAGAAATACATTTTTAAACATACTCTTATGCTGACTTCAAGGTTTTCAGTTCAAGTCAATTTTTGAGTCGAAAAAGGTTATTGAATTAGATTTGAAATAGGCGACTAAAGCGCATTTTGAGATAAGGCTTCCCCTATACTATTTTAGATAACAACTAATCCCACTCAGATATTAAACTGGCAGTGCTTTTTGAATTACTTTTTCATACACTTCTTCAATAGAAAAAAATAAATACAGTGGCGCTGTTAGAAAACTGTAGTCACTGGTTATTCAAAACTACAATCCTTTTTACATCAGATGCCCTTCCAGGCACATAGTATCTACTGTATGTGATTTGAGCAAAACTTAGAACTGTGATTTACTTTTTTTTTTTTCCATATCGCCCAGTCTTTTTTGGAATACTGACCTTTGCTTTAAAGGTCCTATGTTACATAAAATTGACTGTTATGAGCTTTAAGCCATGTTAGATCCTTTATTATTAGTCTGTCTACATCTTTAAATCTCAAAATGACTTGTTCCACCTTATGATGTCATGTAGTGGTAGTTTTCAAATTAACAGCAACTGTTTACCTTTAGTTCACAAATTGGCAATTCCAGGGCTGAAATCATCCAAATCATTCTAGTGAAGTTGTATGGAGTTTTAAAAAAAACAGCATTTGCTGTATGACCACATGACATCACAACGTGGAACTGAGTGTTTTCTGTTTGAGAGAACTAAGCCTAAATACGTAGGGGTTGTGTGTTAAACATGTGTGAACGAAAGGCAGCAAAGGAGAAATTGAAATCAGAACTGAAGAAGCAGCCTGGATGAGCTGTGAAAGGTATTTGACCAAATAAACTTTTGTCCAGTTGACAAACTGAATTTCTCCTTTGCCATGGATTCTACCTGGACGACTGAGGGATTTTTTACACGAGTGACTGAAACTAAACACAACACCGGGTATGTTTGGGATAAAAAAAAACTTTTAAATTAACCTATGTAACCACTGTAGCCTTGGGTTGTAACACATATATACATGTTATGATTTAATAATATTTGAAATACCGTACTGCACTCTGATAGTTGTAGATTGCTTTGAGACAATTCCTGCACAAATGATCTCACAACATTCCCATTTTCTTTTTGCCATTAGCTTGTGCACAACAGGAATTAGACACACTTCCCCTGAAATCCTAGATTGACAGTTTTTTATAGCGCTCCCAGCATGCTAGGTAATATCACTGCCAGTGTGGGACAGAGCTTAGCAGTGCAGCCTTCTTTATGCCTTGGGTAAAAACAGAGTTCAAAGTCATAATAATTATCCGATTCTTCTTCTTAAAAAAGATTGGGATTATAAAATGGCCTGAATATTTTGAGCTAATGAAGATAGATGAATATGTTGGCTATAGTTCTTTCTATATATAAAGATGGGGGAGGAAATTGAGTGTCATATGTAATGTAATTTTAATATGTAACAACGTCAAAATGAGATGAAGAGAAATTAATTGGATCCTATACGAGAAAAGGCTTTGGTATCGACTGATTCTAATATAGTTAAATTAAACAAGCAAATGTGTGAAAGCTTTTGGCATAAAAACAAGCTTTCACAGACTGGCTGTTTAGTGCATCCATTTGGCTCTTCTTGTGTCCTTTTCTACTTTTCTTGTCATTATTATAAATCATTAAACTCTTGACTTCTCACCACTTGACCACACACGGCCACAGCTTGTCTGCCTACACTGCCTGACCCAGATACAAAGCAATGCCCAGTGAAAGGAACTCACTGAAATCAGAGAGAACAGATATGATATCCAACGCTACTGCATTTGGAAAAGGAACAACGCCAAGTAAAAATGTGTCCAGAACGAGCAGGTGCCGAGCTTTGGCAGAGTTGGAGAAGCTAATATTGACTGTGACTTTGACTGTACCATCATAGAAATGCAATATCAGCTCTGTTGTGTGAGAGGAGTACAGAGAGCCATCATCGTTTTTCTTTTCTTTCCTTTCAAATTTAGCCTATTTCACAGCAATTATCTGGCTCCCAGTGTGCAGTGATTGACATACTGAGTTAGCATGGGGTAACCTCAGATGCCCTTCTTTAATATGTGTGTGCACTTTATGCATTTGTCAAGTTGGAACTACTTGCAGCTGATCTTGAACTAAAGGCCTAAAATTGTATGTTAAATTATTATCATAATTTTTTATTAATTTGTGCATTTATTTATTTCATTTTTTCATGTTAAATAGTTTTTTCCTTATCAAAAACAAACTCTTAGTTGTGTTTTCCTTCACTCATTCATCTTTCATATTCCAGCCATTCTGGCTTGTCAAAGCCTGATCTCATCAGATCTCAGAAGATGAGCAGGACTGGGACTGATTCGTACTTGGATGGGAGACCATTCGGAATACCAAGTGGCACAGTGGGGTGCCAGTGGCAAAACTGTCACTGTCTGCTTAGGCAAGACACTTTGGCCACATTGCCTAATATTAATGTGGTGTGTTGGTGCTAGTCAGAGGTGCCAGTGGTGCAGATTAACAGTCTTGCATCTGTTAGTCTGTCGTAGGGCAGCTGTGGCTACAGTAGAATTTTTCCACCACCGACAATGAATGGAGTGAATGAATAATAGTGTGTAAAGCACTTGTGATGTATTGAAAAGTGCTATATTAGAAAAAAAACAAAACAAAAAAAAACACTTCAGTTGCCTGATCTGATCCAGCAGCTCTCATCTTGCAGTAGGCTCCATCCTTCTCTGGGCAACATAACAGCATCTTTTACTATAAGTTAACAAATAATGCAAAATACTTCTCAGATTTAGCACCATTGATAACCAAATCAGAGGACTCAGTGTCAAGGATGAGGTAAAATAAATGTTTTGAATATTATAAAGCCAAGTGTAGAACTTTACAGTATCAGCAGATTTCTTTATCTGTCTGCATGGCATTTATTTGTTAAGACAAGCAATATTAGGGACAGTCACGTGTACTATGCTAGATAGATAGAGAGATAAATACTTTATTGATCCCCAGAAGGGGAAATTCATGCTTTCTCACAATAGAGATTTCATGATATATGGTGCAGCCCAAACTGGGACACAAGCACTTACTCTGTGAGTAGAAAATATTCCTCTCCTCTTTCTGCCTTCATTCACCCATTGCCTTATAAAAAATGTAATTAAGCCATGGGGCACTTCCGATGCAATGTTGCAATAGCGGTGAATGTAGTGTAAGAATTATGTAACAGACATTTCCTATTTGTGAACCGTACATAGTGACTTGGTAGCTTTCCACTGGGACCACAACTACAGCATACTTCTGTCCCTATCTACATCTTTCTTACCTCCCCCTCTCCCTCCCCCACCACGCACACATAGTCTTGTCATTAAGGCCTAATGAAAATGGATGGGCAGGCTGAGGTGTTGACCTGATTGGCTGTGGAGAAGTGTGTGCACTGTTCCCTCAAGGGCGCGCGCGGACGCACACTCGAGCAGCTAATGAACGAATACAAGCACCGCATTCATCAAGTACTTTGACGTATAGATACCTGGCACTATAAGACAACTCACAGAGGGGTGATTGGTTTA